ATAGAAGGGGAGGATGACCTCCCCTATCAGTGGACTAGGGGAGAGGGATAGGGGAGGAGGGGTGGGGGGACCAGCCAAAGATGAGGGAGGGCTATAACTGGTGTACAAAGTGACTGCACCGTGGCGAAGAAGAAGAATCTACACAGGTATGGTGGGACACGCGTGCGATCTCAGCTCTCAGAAGTGGAGGCAGAAAACTCAGGAGAGGCTTTCTTTAACTTTAAGTAACATATAGTAAGTTCGATGCTAACCTAGGCCACATTCCAGACCAAACGTGCACTCCTGGTAACCACAATGCTTGCAGAGTACCATCTCTGCACTCACACTGCGTTGGGCAGACTCTCAGCATATCTAGTGCCAATGCTGTGCCTGAGGGTGAAGCTAAGGCAGCTCTGACCCTCTTACCAATTAAAATGTGAAAACCATGTGCTCCTAGCTACAATCAGGAAAAAAAAAATCATTTTTGCTCACGCAAGGAAAGCTTCAATATGACTTTTGTGCTCTCAGCTGCAGGCTTGAAATGTTTTATAACACTGTATCGACAAGAGAAAAACAAGCATGAACTACAAGTAATTGTAAATGAATTCTCTTGATTTTCTTTTTACATATGTACTATTATATTTAGGTGCTTGTCAACATGCAGAAATGGGGAGATTTAAAACCAGCCATGTGGCTCACCAGTAGACCACTTGCTTAGCATGCTCAGAACTCTGAATTCAGAAAAACACAGAAAGTGAAAGAAACTTACAGATTAACATAATGTCACACAACATATTTTTAGTGCATTTGAAGTGATTTTGCTTTGCTTTTGAGGTACTGGATTCAAACCCATAGCCTCACACATACTAGACAAGTGTTCTAGCACTGGACTATACCTGCAGCCTTGATTAAAAAGAATCTTATTCAAATATAATATTCATTAAATGAGTAAGATAGCAATACATTCCAACAGCTTCACATGTATGAGTGACACATGCACACCTCCCCCCCCCCCACACACACTAAAACTTAAAAATATGAAGCTAAACTGCATAGGCTTAGCGTGGTTGCATCTGTTTATAACCCTGGAACTTCTGGATACTGAAATTTCTGGCTTCACATTCCTGACCAAACTTGTGAGGCTGAAGCAGGAGGATTATGAGTTCAAAGCTAACTTGGGCTACACAACACGACTGTCTTGAACAATAACCAGTCGATCAATATTTATTTTAAAGAAAATAAGATCCGTATAGCTCAAAAAATGCTGGCACTAACACCAGAAGAGCTTCCAGCCACTCGAAAGCTGCCCACCATGTGCTGCTCCCCTCCGCCGGAAGTGCGCCTCTCTACTCAGGGAAGGGCAGTGCGCGCCGTTTTCCAAACTGCCGGCACTTTCCTGACTGTCAAGCAGGACTTAACTTGGGTTGGAAGCAGGAAAGCTGTGAAGGAGAGAGAGCCAGTGGACGGCAGATGGATTGTCACTGCGGCATTCTGGCCATGTGGACAGTCCTTGCCAGGGTACGCACTCCTCTCCAAGCTGGAGAGGCGGGACGTGCTAGAACACATAACAAGCAAAGTCCTACACACCGGAGTGGCAGAGGGGAGAAAGCTGAAACCTCAGGCCACTGCAGGTTCAGTCACTCACAGACAGACGAGATTCCAGGGTTCAGGACTCAACATGGTCTCTAAGATTCTCTTCCCTAATCAGCCTCACGGCCAACAGATCACAGAGCAGAGCTGGCGACCTCCATTTAGAAGGTGAATCTGAGGTCGTCAATATCTGATTTAGTTTAAAATGGTCTAGAAAATGGGTGGCCTGAACATGTAGCAGTCTGAGAAAAGTAAGGATTGAATGTGGACTCAAAGAAAGCTTCTGCCTGTGTGCTGATCTTTTCATTCATTCATTGACCAAACATGTACTAGACTTCTACTAAGCATCAAGCCCTGCATTGGTTTCTGGAGTCACAGTGTTCCGTAGGGTCTAGCCCTGTTTTGGGTGCTAAGTAGAGTCCAGCACTGTTCTAGGTGTGCTGTGTTCCACTGTTGGTACACAGTCACATTCTGCTAGTGAGGAAAAAGGAAGAGAATAAAAGATAACACACTTTCTAAATTGTGGTAAATGCTATTCACAGAATGAAAGATACTGGTTTGCTGGGGGGGGGGGTAAGAGATGGAAAGATGGCTACCTTAGTTCTAAAATAGCTCTTTGGGAAAGTGGCATTGCAGCTGAGCCTTGCTGATAGACGGTACAAGTGACACACAGGCACAGGAGAATCTGATGGAAATGCAAACAGCATCATAGGCTAGAGTAAGCAGAATGTTACCATAATCCAAGGCAGTTTCCTACATCACTGATCAATGAAGCCCTGTGGAGTCCTGGTCTTCTGCATCCCCCAAATGAGCTGGCCCTTCATTCTTTATGTTTTTAATTTATATTTGTTTATGTGTGTTGTGTCTGTGGAGCAGGTGCTTGCCCATGGCAGGCCTTCCCATCAGTGCTGGAGTCAGTCCAGAACAAGTCAAAGAACAACTTGGGGGAATCTGCTCTGTCCTTCCATGAGGTGGGTTCCAGACATCAACCTCAGGTACTCAGGCTTGGTACAAACTGTCTCCATGGCCTCAGAGCTTGTTCGTTTTGGTCACCTCAGGAGCTCTGTCTGCCTCAAGGTTTGTCTACATTTTAACCATCACCACCAGTCAGGACGCAGGAAGAATCACTCTGAGTGCAACTCTGAAGAAATGTTACCTTCAGCTGGGGTTTAGGGGTAATGTAGTTGCCTAGGGCAGCAATAATCCTTCCCAACAATTTCCTTTTTACCTTAGGCTTGTCAGTTGGGCTGGTGGGACAGCTCTGTAGATAAAAGGCACTCGTGTCCAGGCCTGATATCCTGAGTTTAGTCCTCAGAACCCTCACGGTAGGACAGAACCCGCTCCTGCACATTGTCCTCAGACATCCACGTGAAAATTTCGGGTGTACACATACAGTCACTAAAGAACACAGTGTAATTAAACAAACCAAAAGGCCACTCCTGACGCCCTTCTCCTTGATTAACAGCTGTGAGGCTCCTCTGCTGCATTAGGCCAATTTGCTGGCAGAGCTGCCAGGTTGATGGCACCCAGTCTCGGGTGAAAGACAGCACACCTGTGTACCTCCGTCAACTCTCCAGCAGCAGAGTACACAAGAAAAAGAAAGTTTCGCTGCTTAATAGAGCCTCAGGAGTCTCCCCAGCACAGTCCCTTTCTCAAATGCTCGCTTGCTCGCCCTCCCATTGGCAGTGGGGCTTATGTCCTGTAGGCATGCCTTGGAGTGGCAGGTCCTATTTGTTCCCTCTGGGAATCTCTTCAGCTGTGGGCTACTAGGAAATTGCTCTGTCACTACCCTAAAGCTCTCCTATTATTGAAGGACTGTATTTAGTAATTACCTCTTCACTTCTGCCTCACCTCTTCAAAAATGGTTTTGTAGTACATTAAAATACTCTGCATTTTTTGTATATCAGTCTTTATTAAAGTATCTGAACCATTGTTAAGCAAATTATAGGCAAATTTCTTTTCTGGTCTGGTGGATTTAGGGTTCACCTGGGGTCTTGTGCATGCTAGGCAAGCATCCCACCACTGAGCAATTCTCTACATTTTTATTTTAATCTTGTATTTTTAGACAAATTACCACTAAGTTGCCCCAGCTGTCATAAACTTGCAGTTTTCCTGCCTCAGTCTCCCAAGTAGCTGATATTTCAGACCCAAGAGCTGTGCTGTGAAGCTCAGCAAAAATTCTCCCAATGTTTAAAAAAGAATAAACTTCTTACCTCCATAATGGACACTGAGGTCTATTTAAATCTGGAAATATGTTTTTACTGGTCTATTATCTGACGGGCGCGCGTTCAGGCCAAGGTTTATTAAAGGTCAGTCTCTCTGCAGCGCCTGGTATTGCGGCCTGTTGTTAGAGTGCTTATCTAGCACACGTGAGCTCCGGGTTTCAGCCCCAGCGTCACAAATAATAAACATGAGATTTAAACCAATGGTGACGAATTCACGGGTGGGGAAGCAAAGCACAAAACTGTAAGTCCAGTGTGACCGAGCCAGGTTTCATGGAATACACCACTAACAAGTTCTCTGCAGGCTGAGGCAGGAGGATGGCGGTGATCCACGGGCTGTTTCAAAACCAAAAGCAAACAAATCGAGTATGATCGGAACAGACCGAACCCTTCAGGACTAAAATGTTCACAGGAACGATCCAGGGGCCTGGCCCTCCCTAGTCTTTTCAGGAAGCTGTATAGTGAACAGGAACCGCTGAGCAGCCTTTGGCGTGTGAGACAAATTCCTGCCTCCCTAGTGGCTCTTTCCTAGCCAAAGCCACCCTTGTCAAGAGAGGAGAGGGATGGTGTGAGCCCCTCCCTCCGGGGGCCGCCCCGGGAGAGGGCATCCCTGCCCGCGGCCAGCGTGGGCCAAGGACACTTTTTCTTAGCCATTCAGGGCCCCTGACTGGCATCACCTCCCAAGACTCCGAATGCTTCCTTTCTTGTTTTAATCCTCTTAAGGTTTTTCCCATTCCCGGTGGCTCGCCCGCCGGGTTCCTAGTGTCTGGAGGGGTGCCTCTCCCGGCGGCCCGGGGAGGCCCGGAGTGGTGCAGGCGGGGGGAGGAGGGGCTGCGCAGGGCTGCGGAACCAATCAGCAATCTTACCTCGTTGGCCAGCGCTTGCGACAGCGCAATGTCCTCGTGTTGTAATTGTGAGGACACAAGGACTTCGGCCTTATGATTACCGATCAATTCCATGATTTCAAAAGCCCACAAAATCACCCCTCAGAAAAAGACCAACTCAAGTAAGAAAGAACTGAAAAGAAAATTCTTCTTTGCTCAGGGAAGAACACGGAGGGGAGAAGGGGAGAAAATTGAATGTACTGCAGAAACTGCTATTGAAGCAAAGCGGCAGGCCGGTGTGTTCTCTCGGGGTTCGAGGGAGCGACACGGCGGTCCGCAGAACCCGAGGGTGTGGATTAAACCCGTGGAAGGAAAAGCAAAAAGCGACTGAGCAGAAACATTTTAATCAGGAACAGAGATTACCATAACCCTCTCGATGGGCTTCCTTTGCAAATAAGAGACATTTTTAGAGGACAAATGTCTGAAGAAAACAAAACGAAACAGTGGGAGCGGTGTGCTAAATCAGCGCGGGAAACTTGTAGGCTGGGGGAACGCTGAGAACGCCGGCGGCGACAGGCAAGCCAGCGTCTACTGTGCGTCCGCTTGGCATGGTCGACTTGTAAGGCTGGAATCTGGAAGGCTTCGAGGATAAGTGTTTCTTCATGCTTCGTGGTTTCTTATACGTGAGATTACCTCATTCAAGAAGTTAAATAGCCCAGTCTCCTAAGACTGTCTTATTTTCTCAGGCATTCCGGTGGTATAATTATTACTGTAAAGCTTCTTCTCCATTCATTCAATTTTCCTGGGGATTGGAAGAAAAGTCCACGCAAATGTTGCACAAACAAAAATCCTAGGCAGTTATAATGAAGATTTCCTGTTTGGCAATAATCACACTGGTTCAATAACTAGAGAGCAGACTTGAGGGAAAGGTGACGGGCAAGAGTTTATGGCGGCATCACACCTTCTAGACTGAACGCCCGCAGCACAAGCACGCTGCTTTTGTCCTGAGCACCCTCAAGGGAAGAACTGGGGAGAGTGGAGGTTACTTCTCCAATCACAGCAAACAAAGGTAATTGGCGATGATAAAATCAGGTGGTAAGAACTAAACGTCATCAGTGACCCAGTGTAGAAAACGCCAGTAATCCGAGCATTTGGCCGATGAAAGTAGAGGGATTGTGAGTTTAAGGCTAGACTGAGCTATGTAGTGAGAACCTGTCTCAAAATCGAAATATTTTTAAGAAGTGATTTGTGAGAAATTGATCTATTAATATCATAGAAAATTTTTATGAATTATAGAATAGAAGCTAAAATTGTAAACTAGCTATGATACTGAAAATATAAGATTTTACTATATTACTCACTTTTGTGCCAAAAATCTGTTATAGTTACCGTCACGTTTGTTTAGCAGATCACACTTTGAACTCTGCAGGACGAAGTAGAAAAATGAGCTGCAAAGATGAGAGCAAAGTGCCTTTCTCCCAAGCCAACCGATACACACCGCCCTGTAAGAACTGACTGCTAGCACTTCCGTGATAATAATACTGTAATAATAACAATCTCGCATTTACAGAAAGCTTTTCACTCTCCAAAGTGCTTTTCCATTTATTATGGTCTCTTTGATATTCCCTCAAATAGTAAGCATTCGTCTTTGGCCCCGGAGGAAAACGTATTCCTCATTCAAAGGCTGCTAGGCTGCCCAGCTTTGTGTGAGAAAACAGCCCCCGGCAGTGAGTACTTTGCCCACAAGTACGAGTTTTGCTTTCCATGTAGCATGATAAAACAGCAGCCTCGTGGACTATGAAAGCAAGTGGAAATTGCTATGAATCAGCTGAAAAGGTAGCTTATTGGAAATAAGAAGTTGTTTATCTTGAAAATAATTCTGCAAATCAACAAAACAGTGTTTTGATGAGGACAGCCAGCAGTCTACCAAGTCTACGTCCCCGAGTTCCTGGGCATGTGGCTCCCATGAGAGACCACGTCTCCCAGCAGCCTTGTGGGCTCACAACAGCCATGGACTATGAGGAGAAAGGACCCGTTTTTCCCTGAACCTACGGTCACTGGGGATGTTTCCTTGAGACCTGGCAGACTAGAGGAGGGACGGTCCCACCTTACCCGCGCAGATGACGACAGTGCCCTGGCATCGCTTGCACAACTGGATGGAGGTCACCTGATCACGTGAGTGATTTCGGAAGACACACTGCCCAAAGCTACTGTCCAGTGTTAGCTGTGAGAGAAGAAACTTCCCTCCACTCAAACACACACATACAACATGCATTCGTGCATCGACACGCACGTATACAGCATGTGCACATACGTGCGTGCACACGTACATAGTCACGCACGTATTCATTGTTACCAAGAGCATTTGCCTGGAGAGTGGGCGCTCTTTCTCGTCCTAACAGCCTGTGTATCTGTGCGAACTGAGGTAACACAGGCTTTCTTTTCGTTGTTCCGGTGTTACTGTTCACATGTTTTGGGCCTGTATGGAGTTCTGTGTGTTCACACGGGACAGGTTAACATGAAATGTTTCTCAGTTGCTCTCTGCCCTTTTCTTTCTTTGAGGTGCCTGAACCTGGCTTCCGCAGCCCGGCTACACTGGCTGCCGGCCACCCCAGAATCCTCCTTTCTTGGGCTCCGCGGCCCTGGGGCTGCGCATGCTGTCTGCATGCTTGCTTTTACACATGGCGCCGGGGATGGAACTCGGTCCTGACGCTGTCGCAACACAGCCTTACCACTGAGCCCTCTCCCGGCTGGGTTTCTGGGTTTTTTTTTTTTTTTTCTTTTTTCTTTGTGGTTGTTGTTTGCTTGAGACAGGGTCTCCTGTAGACCACTAAAGTAGCCGAGGGTGACCTTATTCTCACGACCCTCCTGCCACCACTTCACAAGTGCTTGGATTAAAATGATCAGACACTGACGCTGACAACGCAATGTCTTCTGTCTGGTTTTTGTTCTGTTGTCTCTATTCACTCATTTTTGTGGAAAGGGGGCTGAAGGTTAAACTCGGGGCCTTGTGCTCGGTGGGCAAGAGCTCCGCCGTTGAGCTAGCCTCATCCCACTGCTGTTGAGGGGGCAATGTCCACGTGTCTTTGGTGGTCCCGGCTTCACTGACCTGGAACAAGCAGCTAACCGTCGTGAACGCCCGCGCGGTCCAACAGTAAGTGGGCCTCCAAGTGGTTTTGCAACACTATCTTTGACTTGTCTGCATGATTTAGACCTGTGGTTCATGTGAGACCAATTTACATGGGAAGCAAATCTTTCAAATTTCCAGAGTATTCTTCTTTTTAAAACTGCCTTAGAGAGATGGCTCGGCAGTTCGGACCCCCCTCTTGCAGAGGACCCCATGTTGGGTCCCTGACATCCATGTGTACAGCTGCCTGTACCTCTATGGCCTCCCTGGGCACCTGCACTCACATTTGCATTAATATACAGACAACCACAGGATTAAAACTTATAAAAACAAATCTTTTCTTAAAAAGCAGAGCTGTCTTTGGGGTCTGGAAAGATGGTTTAGTGGATTAAAAAAGACACTTGCCATCATGTGTGAAAATATGAAAATATGTCCCCTGGGACACACAGGGTAAGAAAGAACCTATTCCTGCAAGTTGTCCTCTGACCTGCATACACACTCTGGCACTCTCCATCCCACCCCCACATAAATAAATATAATAATTTATTTCTGATGGAGAAAGTTTATTTTGGCTTAAGGTTTCTGTGAGATGTAGCCCACCATTAAGACCAGGAAGCAGGAAGGAAGGGCACAGAGCAGACACAAAGCTTGATGTTCACAGGACGTCTGCACTTAGAAAGCAGAGAATGATTAATGTATCATATTGTTCAGTTCTCTTTTCCCAACTTCTGTAGATCAGGGTCTCAGCCAGGTAATGACACCACCCACAGCAGTGAGTTTTCCATTTCAGTTAATACATTCAAGATAACATTCCATAAGCATGCCCAGGGCCCGCCTCCCAGGCGGCTCTAGACAAGTTAATATCGCCATTAGGCATCACATAAGGAATATGCACAAGACGCCTGGCGGGGCTCTACACGCTGCCTCATTATCTATAAGGGTCTGTGTCATTTAATCATAACTATGTAATCTGATATGACTCTGTGTACAGCAGAGAGAAATTGGCACTAGAAGTTTAAGTGCCTGGCTCAAAATGACCACGGTTAATAGTCACACCATTGTACTCTGGGCTAGACTATGTCACCTTTAAGTTTTTACATCAGAGATGTGTTAGGAATTCCAGTCATTCACCCATACCTCTTCATAGCATTCCTGTTCTAATGGTCTTTGATATTCAGAAGACTTTCTTCTGTCCTCTGAGTCTGTTGCTAGAAAATCAGTCTCCAAGTTAATTTGTGATATTAGATCAGGCATGAGGTTTGGAAAACAAAACTGATTAAACAATGGGATTATAGGCAACTGGGCTTAGGAATACTCACAGTTGCAGCAGACAGACCAGAGCGGCACATCCTAACTAATGAGAAATCAGTAGGGGACCCTTAAGGAGATCTCACATCCCTCCTGTTTACAAAGCTACCAAAACTGTGGACAGAGGTCACACGACACCACAGAGCAGCATACAACTTAATGTCTCAAGCGTCTCCATGAGCTAAGACCCAGAGAGTTAAACTCAGCTACTCAGTGGAAAGCTGGCCTCAAAAGGTAAAGGCGCCTGCTTCGAAGCCTGACACCTTTAATCTGTGGAACTTACATGGTAGAAGGATAGCACTGACCCCTAAAAGCTGTCCTCCGGCCACCACGCATGTACAGTGCAAAGTGAATGAAACACAGACACACACACAGGCACACACACCACAAATAAACTATAGAAAAATTATTCAAATCCAGGAAGATAATTGCCCTAGCAAGTAGAAGCCCATGCATTAAGATTTAGATGATGTGGTGTTTGAATAGGTTTGGCCCCATGGAATCATGAGTTTGAATGCTTGGCACATAGGAAGTGATACAGTCAGGAGGTGTGGCCTTGTTAGAGTAGGTGTGGCCTTGTTGGAGGCAGTCTGTCACTGTGGGGCTGGGCTTTGAGGCCTCCTACGCTGAAGCCACGCCCAGTGTGGTACAGCTTCCTCTGTAGATGTAGAACTCTCAGCTCCTTCTCCACACCGTGCCTGCTGCCCACTGCCACGTTCCCACCATGACAATCATGGACTAACCCTCTGAAACTGTAAGCCAGCCCCAATCAAATACTTTCTTCTGTAAGAACCCTCACTAAGGCAAGTGATAAAACCTGTTTGCATTACACTGACATCGGGGTCCCTGACCACGTGATAACATCACAGCACTAGGCGGTCAGCACAAACCAAGCTGTGTGTTTGGGCCCGTTTGGGCCTAGTTGGTCTGTTCCCGGTGTGTATATGAATTGTGACACTTTATTGTGGGATAGCAAGTTACAGCCCCAACCGTGAGAATGAACAACCAAAACAGAGGACATGTGTGGAAGCTCAAGGGTGTCAGTGTGGTTTTGACTTTTGATAGTTTCCAATTTCCATTGGAAATTGTTCACTGGGCCATCATCTTGCAGTAAGTAATGTCCATGTGGTGGTGGTGAGCCTGTAGCCAATCAAGGAGCTGAGTGGTGTGCACTCCTGGAATTGCAGCACAGGGGAGGAGGAAAGCTGGGGCCAGCCTGACCCACACCGTGAGATCCTGTGTCAGAAGCCGGAGAGGGAGGAAGGAAGGAAAGGACGAGAAGGGGAGATATATAAGAGATCGAAGAAGAAGGAAGGAAGGGAGTCATTCATCTGAAACATGCTTGTTACTTTATCAGCCACACACAGGAAGCTCCTACTATGATCAAGTTAAGAGACTGGAGACATGGCTCAGTGGTCAAGAGGACCAGAGTTCAGGACCCAGCACTCACGGAGCCATCACACCACTCTGTAGCTTCAGTTCCAGGGAATCCAACACCCACACACAGACACTTACAGGCAAAACACCAATGCATATGAAATAAAAATAAATGTTTTTTAAATGATGACTTCAAAATAAACGAAGACAAATTGACACAGCGTTCTAGAACAGAATGGAATGCCTTTCTAACTCTACAATTGCACTATACAAACTATAAGGAACCATGCATCCTCCTCCTCCACCAAGAAGATAATTTGTCATCTTTATCAGTTTTCGTTAGTCTACCTATCATCTGTCTCTCTGTGTATCTATGTCTAATTTAAGCCTGACAATAAAATCACTGTCTAGTTAAGTTTACTCTTTTGACTCATTCTAGACTAGACACCTGTTCTTGCATAACACATAACTGAAATACGTATTAAGGTTAGGTTAGTTGTATGTCATATTAACGAGGCATAATTCACATGTTTATAATCTCGCTCTTGGGCTGCAGAGGCAGGTGGATCTTTGTGAATTTGAGGCCAGTCTCTTCTACACAGTTAATTCCAGG